AAGTTCATTTCTTCTTTGAAGAATCCGGTTTTTCACTTTGATGTGGATATGAATTGTTTTTGTTATTGTCCTAAGGGAATTAGTTACGTGACAGTTTTCCATTCCTATGCATCCTGTCAAGGATGGAAAGGTATTGGTGACTGTTCTTTTCAAGCTAAAAGAGTGCAAGCCACTAGAAGCAACCAGTACTTCAAGGATGCTGACTGGAAGAAGTTTCCATTTTCATTTTTGGTGGAGATGAATCGTTTCCTTCCCTATAGTGAAACTTCCGACAAGCGTCAGAGTTTCCTTATTGAAGATCTTCTGGAGAACTTTGACTCTGGAAGTTTGTGTGGAACAGCTCTCTTGTTAGAGAGAGAAGCTCATCAGTCAATTTTGTTGAATTCCGTAAGAACGGAAGAGACGACGGAAATTCCGGTTCCACTTCGACATATCCTACCACAAAGGTTCACTACTACTGAACTGGTCAGAACCTTGAGGCAGGTAGATGCACTACCTCAGAGATCAGAGTTTGATGTGACAACATCCTCTGATTCTCGAATTGTGTCATTGATTCCAGGCCTGAAGGAGATTAGACGAAGAACATTGCCACAGATGTATTTTGAGAGATGTAAGATTTATCGTGGTACTTTTGGTAGAGTGCATCCTCTCTTCAACTCTGAAGATGATGCAGTGTTGATTATGTGGAAGCCAGGAAAATACCATCAGGTTTTCTTTATGTTTGTGTCACAACTGTCTCCTCATCATGAACAGTTTTTGGTAGATCATTGGAGCATGATAGTTTTCGAAGCAGAGACGACAGGAGCCGTGAGGCGCGTTGTGACTCCTGATGAAGTAGCTCTAGAGGATCCAAGGGATCAACCTCCAGACTACGGACCACCAATGGATGATGATATGGCTTATGAGCCAAATCCAGTCTCGGGGGAACAGCAGTATTTTGATCCAGACGATGAAGATATGAATCCGCCTGGTGATGGACTGGGTGGCAACCCTGATGATCATCAGGGTGGACAACCTCCGGGACCACCTCCAACAGGTCCCGCAGCTGTTCCGAATCAGTTTGGAAATCCCGATGTTCCTTTGGAGCAACTCGGATATCCATCGAGCGATCCGGAAGAGGCAATGCCGGAGATTTCGAGCGAATCCCGTCCACCAGATGATCCGGGTCAACCGCCGATAGGTTTTCCGAGTGATACGGATCCTGTTCGTCCGTTCGTTCCGTCGCCTGATTCGAATCCTCCGGACCCAGAACCATATGTTCCACAGCAAGCACATGCGGAAGCTTTCTGTGGACTCGACAGATGCTTTGCCAAAGGCGAAGGTAAGGTTTCAGATTAAACGTTCTAAGGTTCAAAGGAGATTTCCTTTGAAAGGGTAGTTCAAACTAAAGGGTGGTTGAGAATAAGTTAGCATGCCATCTGTAGAGGCACAGTAACTTTCGCCGGTGACTTGCACCACGCTGGCACTTGTACCACTTTGACACTTTCGCTGGTGACTGGCACGTGTAAAGTCACTTGAAACTTTGCTTGGTGACTTGGACATTCAACTTCGAAAGGATGAGACTCAGACTTGGATGAGTCGAGAAGGATGGGGGCAAAATTTGCCCCCATCCTTCTCGACAAAGCAAAAGAGTGCATTGAAACTTCACAAAACATATATTGCATACTGAGCCAGGCCATCTAGCGGTAATGATTTGACACTTTTGGATGCAATGTATGTGCTATACCATCATTACATTGCATGTATTGTTTCAAGGTTTAGGCTTGGGGGGATAAATTATATAACACTATTTACATTGTGTGTGCGTTATTATTTGAGGGTTAGATATTGTATTTGATATTATGTATGTGCACGGCTAATATGTTATCTTGAAGAAAGTTCATACTTCCAATTAATAATTGGAAATATGAAGATGTCAATACAATAAAGAAAACCGTTTCAAAGTTGCACTGTCCAACATGCACATTGGAAAGCAAAGACTTTCCATCACCTTTTTGGCGCACACACAAGTCTGACTAGCTCTTTCTGCAGGGTGGAATTGGTCCGGGTTTCCGGAACGATCAGCGAGGGAAAACCATTGTCACCAGGCTTTAAATCTGAGTGTGTTATTTTCGCCCTCGCTAACCAACATCTTCAGAAATCAGACTACGTGACATTGACATCTTTAATGTCATCGTGGCATTCCTCATCCTCGGCTACCTCTTCTTCTTCTTCGCCTTCAACTGGGTTCTCAACCAAATCACCTTCTGTCACAGCTGCGTCACCATCCAGAGCAGTCCACATCGCGTCCTTAGAGTGTGGATTTTAGGTTTTTTTATTTAGGGTGGATCCAAACAGTTGAATATGATTTAGTCTTTAGGCCAGTGTCTATCATTGCACGAACAGCATCATGGTCTTTGCCCGCGCGCAACTGTTTGACTGCTTCAGCAGCAATCTCGCCAGTCTTCGAAGTGTCATAGTGGCAGTTTCCAACCTCAACTGTCTTAAGACAGGAAAGATTATGTTAAAGGCACTGTTTTTGACCAAAGCAACATGGCCCAAGGAGGAAACATTCTGTCTGGTAGACATTTTTTAAAAACATCGAACGAACCTGAGTGTGAGCTTTACAGCGCCAATGTGTGAGTGAAATGCCTGAAATACAGGTGACCGCTGGCAAACAAAGTCACAAACTGCTTTAGGCAAAGGCAGGTGGAAAGATCAAAGGCAACATTCAAAAAACTGTGTACAACAGTCTGAGACTGGTGGAGATACAAGAGAGGCTTGGCAAAAGATAGAACTTCCAACATCATCTCGCATTAGATGGACCGTGCGTTGGTCTGGTCATAAACAATTTGTTCTGATCCGTTTTCAAACGCAAGTCTTAAAGCAGATGCATCAGTTAGAGACAAACAATAATACCAGGGACAAACACGAAGGCAATGAGGTAGCTGAATCAACAATGGCCGAGAGCAAGTTGCAACTAACAAGTGTTTGAAACATGGAGATGGTGATACATGACTGGAAGAGCATTTTTTATAATAACATACTTTTAATCAACACCATTGTGACACGTTTAGACAACAAATCATTGCAATGTGGAAACTAGGCTACCAACTTAAAACAAAATATATTATATAGAGTTAAACATTTCATCAGACTAATGAATTGAACTTGAACAAAAAGTTACCACGGAGATTTGCTTAATTCGTACAAGGCCAAAGTGACACCACAGTACCCAAAGTTAATTAAAGGTGCAAACATCACAGCAACAATCAGGACATTTTTGAAAAGTTTTAATGGTCTTTGCATTTGAAAATACCACATTGGGAGGTGTGTTTGCAGCTGGCATTTGGTTTTAATTGCTGAATGTTTGGTTTCAAAATGATCCACCTGGTAGTCTAGCAGTTTTCACATATATGAATGAAAAATTTGAAATTGCATTGCGGTGGATGATTAGTATAATATGTTGTTGCTTGGTTTAGGTCAAGGCACACTGAACTTCTCGGATCCATCCACCTTAATCGCCCACTTGCCGGTCTTGTACATGTATGGATTGCTGATCCGTTCGCCTTGCATGGAATGCAAGCCTTTTTGTCTTTCAAACACAGAAAAGTAATTCAACATGACAGCGTGGTCAGAAACCATAGCCTGCGGGAGAGCGAAAAGCATCAAAGCGGCCAGAGCCAGCAGCAGCTGGACGCTTCATCTTTGATGAAGCAGCAGCAGCTGGTCGCTTCATTGAAGGCTGAGGGTGGTCTTCATAAGACTCTACAGCTCCAGGTTCAGCATCAAGATGCTCTGCATCAGCTTCGATTTCAAGTGTTTTCTTTGACGGTCTCTTCTCAAGCTTTTTCTTTTTCTTCACGTTGCCTGAACCTTTCTTCCTCTTCTTTTCCGAGCTCTCTGCAGGTTTCGAAGGCGCTGTCTCTTCTATCTCCTGCTCTTCTTCCTCCTTCTCCTCTACTAGGTCATCCTCGCTCTTAGTCTTCCTCTTGCCATGACCTTTAGCTTTCGATTTTGCTTTCGGCTTCGCCTCTACCGAGAAAAAACAGGAAACGGGCACACATTGAAGCAGTTAAATTATCTCCGAAAACCCGATTTATCAACACATTGAATATGGCCACACTCTGCGCCATGTGCCTTGGGCACTGTTGGCTTGGAAGGTTTGCCAGTAGTGCCAGGCACGTCTTCATCGCTCAAATCTGTCACTGGTTGGAAAATTCCCATTTCCCAAGCAAAAGCGATCAAGTGCAGTCAGCAAAGCGTGCTTGAACAATCCTGAAATATTATGACAGGGTGTGAAAGTTTATTACGCTGAGTCAGAGGCAGACCTGTACGAAAGTGATCTCAGCCGGCCCATTCATTAGTCACAAAAACGCACA